AAAACTGCTATGTACAACATTAAGTAATTGAAAAACTGCTATGTACAACATTAAGTAATTGAAAAACTGCTATGTACAACATTAAGTAATTGAAAAACTGCTATGTACAACATTAAGTAATTGAAAAACTGCTATGTACAACATTAAGTAATTGAAAAACTGCTATGTACAACATTAAGTAATTGAAAAACTGCTATGTACAACATTAAGTAATTGAAAAACTGCTATGTACAACATTAAGTAATTGAAAAACTGCTATGTAAAACATATAACTAAAAGCTTGTATTTTTGTATCACATTAAAGTTGTAATCAATGCATGTCGTTTTTTATTCTGTAGTGACCGTGTGCCCATGTTTCTCCGTTGTGCTTTACGTAGCGTTTGTCATCAAAACTACAGAGACCAGCTTTTCTGATGGTGTATAAATGAAATTCATGTCTGTCACTTCTGATAGAAGTCATGACACACATCATCGTTTTAGAATCAAGCAGGCATTCTAGATACATGTCGTGACGTAAGTCGTGTACTATGGTACTTTTCTTGATACCTTTTGCCACCTGTTTTGATTGCTGTTCGCATGCATAAGAATACATTTTCAGTCTCAGTCCAACAAACTCTTGTAAAATCTTCCCACCTAATTCGTCTTTAAACTTTCCTGGCGTCCTTTTGTTTGTGACGTCATAGATCAGATGATCTGCAAGATAATTACAGAGATCAAACAGGTGTTTGTCTTCTTGTAGTGTTTCGTACAAGTCTGCCACGTTTGATATTTCATACATCAAACTGTCGGTATCAGTCATTAACAAATGTATGTTTTCATACCTAGACAACATGCGATTGTAATGGAAATCGTACATGATACATTTAGAGAGATCCAAAATACACTGACCCACGTAAATTGGTTTGTTGAGTACTAGTTTGATTTTACTGTTCTCTATTCCAACTAAATCTTCGTTGAATATTTTGAATCTTTGAAAAGACGGTTTAGCTACATACTTTTTCATTTTTTTCTCTGTATGGGACAGTTTTATGTCGACCCTATTGCGTACGTTTTCCATAGCTTTACCAAACACAGAATTGTTCATTAATTTAAAAAAAACTTTTTTCAAATTCAGAGGATGTTTCCCGTCTTTTTTGACTGTTAAAGTCTATATATTTCTTCAACCACGGATGCTGTCTAAACTCTAAAACTCGGTGAATCTTGGTCAATTTCATTCCCAACTCTAAGTATAGCTGTAAATTCCTATAGTGGCAGATATATTTCGTCTTATTTTCTAGCGAGGATACGAGTTTAGGTGTGGCGATTCGACCCTGCAGTTTCTTGTCGGTATGTTTAGGACTAGGGTGAAATTCTTTCCACAGCTCTCTACTATGAGGGGACAGCATTTCATCAGAAATTACTTTAGTTTCCGGAGCAAGCGGATAGTCCGAATGGAGATCGTGTAGCTCTGTCGGGTATTCTAAGTCTACCTCTAATACGTAACCCGTGTCACCATCTTTTGATATGTTTTCAACATCGAAATGTTCCGCATTGTCAACCCACTGAAATTCTCCCACGGGTAACGGCTCGGCCATGGCTTTACCGTACAGATTGTTGCAATCCGTATAGAGGATATATTTATTGGGTTTAGACGAATCGTACGTTTCCTGTATGTAAGGATTGTTAGCCTTGGAGTATTTGTGTGATATCATCGATACCCCACCCCGTACCCCGCTCTCGAAAAACAGATACATGTCCGGATCTGTCAATAACTCTAAACAGACTCCAGTCATTTTCAATGCAACACTCCATGCAAGTCCAGGACTTGTATAGAAATGGACTGGATCTAACCCATAGTAATTCATGCACATGGTTCCAAAATTTTCAAAAACATCTGTCAGCAGTAATACGTCTGTTTTCAAATAGAGATCATGATATTCTCCCAAATTTTGAATGTTTAATGTATTCCAAACGCACTGTGCATGCTCATAATCTACATCTGCAATGTTTGATTTACTTAATTGGCTGTAAACAGCTGATTTTGGAGGTAAGGTTGTTTCATCAAAGGAGAAGAGCCACGAACCATCAAATTTGGCCCAGTGTTGGATTTTCTTCAAAATTGACCCATATATACTCCAAATACTTACCCTTCATAAAATAATATTATTATCTGGAAAACATCAATTCCGTTGCCATGGCAACCACTAACAAGACCCCCTCCCTTTTTAGGTGATTTTCCTATAAATTCCTATACCATTCTGCTGGAAAATACAACAAAACAACTGTTAGATGCAGGGACAAAATCACTTTTACTGTTGTGATAACCCAATACACTTTTTAACAACTTCCTTGGGAATACAAGTCAAAATACCATTATTATGTCTCCAGTTAGCAGTGTCATAGCAACCACATATCATCTGTATTATAGTTTTTCCAACTCGAAAAAGTTTTTTTTTTTTTTTCATATTTGAATTTACATCAAATTTGATNTAAATTATTGATATCCATAATTCATTTATGGATATCTACAATTTCAGTTATGGATATCCATAGTTCACTTGCATTTATGGATATCCATAAAATGAATATCATTGAAATATGGATATCTATAAAATGAATTATGGATATCCATAAATATTTAGTAACATCATTAAATAATTCTCATAGTCATCCATGTCAGAATATTCTGTTTCCACAATTATTCCTTGGCTCAGATTTTCCTTTCCTTATATAATGCAAATTTTTGTCATTTTATATGGTTTTTGAAATTCAAATTAGCTAACTATCTTAAATGTAGACATCAAGGGATCAAAGAGACCCTTTAAAATGAGACATCAATGACCTTTTTATCTAGAAAATTCAAGAAATTATTTCAATTTCAAAATTCAGTTAATTCAAGGTAGAACCAGAACATGTAACAATGTTATTCTTCAACAACACTCTGTTCACTGTCAGAAGAATCAACAGATTCTGGAATGCACTGGGCATCTTGAACAAAATCTCCCCAATTTTTAATGCCAAAATTGACATTTGGGTGGTGTCTAGCATACCCAAGATACCACAGAACTGCGGCTATGTGTGCACAGACTCCAACTACACGTGCACCTGCCCGACATTTACAGTACCATGCAACAACATTAACACAATCATGTTCAATCCACAGAAGATATTGCTTGGAAGAGACATGTCGGCTTTGAAGTCTGACTCTAATTAGATTGTCGTTTTCCGTGTGGACTTGAATTTCACAGTCACCGTTTATATGCTCCTGCATGTAACTACTAGCCAACTTTAGTTGATAAGAACAACATGTAATATTTCTCAAGTCTGTCTCATCAAGTTTAGGGAAGTTAATCAAACAATCATCTGGTTCTGTCCATATCACTCGTCGCTTTTCCATATTTTCATCTTCCACTCTGCTCTTTAGGTTGTTGATTTGTTTGGACAGATATAGCATTTTTGTTGCCAATGCCTCGTCATCTGTGTTCCCTGTAATATACAGATTTATTTTTATTTCGATTATTTTAGGTGGGAATGGCGAGACCATTATACACAGTGGTCATGTTGGTTTTTTTTCCCCCTAATTAAACCAAATTCCCAGATAAGAATAGGACCCCAGTACTCATTCTTGTCGTAAAATAGGGGCCTTTCGGATGAGAACTTAACCTGAAGTCACGTGAGGCACGATAAAGAACCCTTACTGCATTTTCCATTTGCATAAGTCTTAATTTCTGCACCTTAACCTATAACTGGTGATATCTCTATATAAGTGCAAAAATCTTGACTGGGACGTTAACCCCCATTCAACCAACCAACCAAACCAGCACACCCAAGATAAATCTTAATTGAATGTGTGTAAAAAGACCGATAAGTTTCTTTTGTGATTTATCTTGTACAATTTATTTATATTCTTGCATAAACATGTCACTGAAAGTTTTTTTGTAATTACTTTACCTGGAGACAATGATGGAAAGTATTTGTTGCAGATAGCACAAATGATCCGCACATGGTCACCAATATATGGCACCTGATTTGTTGGAAGCACATGGTCCATATACTTCCATCTCTTTATCTGCCCATTTGCCGATTCAACAACCCAACGTACCTGAAATTATATATATATTCCACCAACTATTAGTGTTTAAGGTCTTGCTATTTTTTAAATGTTTCATCAGCATAGTGATAATAATAATCGATTATAAAAATCATTGTATAATTGCAATTATAGGTTTGTTGTTTACATTGTTACATTTGATTTTACCATAACTGTCTTGTGATAAGTTTTAAAAACAAATATGTATATATTTGTGATATGATTTACTTCATTAAGCTCGTGTTTTACTCCAACACAAAGTAACAGTCACTCAACCAAAGCAAGGTCCGAGTAAACATGATATAAAATACAAATTAGGTGGGACTGAACACGTTGGCTTCCAAACATAAACTGAAAGTGAGACCAGGTGCTGAAGAGCGAGTCACATGCACCACACGTCATGTGTTTTGATGTAAAAAATAAGGAAGTTTTTAAATACTTGTTGCCAAAATAAGTATAACTAAAGGATTTGTAGTAAATGTTGCTCTAATTTAGACAAGTTTTTTTAAATACCTTTGTTACTAATCTGCTCGCATTTGCATCTTGTGTTGTCATCTGCTTTTGACCCTTTTGCATAAAACATGGCATTTCAGCTTTAATTCCAAGGTCCTCCAACAGTTCTAAAGAGTCTCTGAAACCACGGTCAACAATGAAAATGTCATTTTCTTCAACCCAGTTCTTAATATCTTCAATGTTGTTGTGCAGAATATGTTTTAAAATAGAAGCATCATTATTTTTGTAATCTGCAAAGTAAGGCCCAAGTACGGTAATGAAGTATCCAGTTGTGGAAACAACAATCATAGGTTTTAGTAATGGACGAGATTTATGAATTGAAAAAGTCCGACGCTGGAACTGAAAGTTGCCACTTTTCTGGATATATATGTAGGTCCCATCCAATACAAGTATAGCTTGAGTATTTGAGATGTCGCCAAATAACGTCTGTGCCAATGGCCGTGTGTGATTTCTGATTATCTGTTCTCGACTGATGTGAGAAAGACCCAAATTTTGTGGAACAAATGACTGCATTAATGCCATTCTAACGGAAGATACAGCACGTCGGATACTGGACTTTGTGATATTGAAAACCGTTGATAACACTTTGTTTGATATCCCAGACTTCATTTTAAACAAATATATTCCCAGCGATGTTTTTGTTGAACGAGCTGGTGTATTCCGTACCAAGTCCTTTATATATGTATAAAGATCTGTAAAATTGGCTTTTGTAATTCCAGTTAAGTTAATAAAATCTGATGCAGTTAGTGCTTCATCAGAGTCAAAGTCAATTCTTGATTTTTCTGTCTGGATCGCAAATGTTCTTAATTTATGTAAGAGTTCAAACAGTGTAGATCTGTTCAGTAAAACACAATCATTTTTGCATTCAACTACTCGCATAGCTTCAGGTGTTAATTTATCTCCAACGAGATGATCTGGACAGCACCGCGCTCCTGCAGGAATTATAATTTCTTGACGTAGAAAAGCGTCAAATCTAGCATCTGATGGTACAACTTTAAGTTTAGATTTTGGTTTTCGGCAAACAAAACAGTATGAGTGACTCTTTGATGTAGATGAAATTGGAAGCGACACTGTTGGTGGACTGCCGAGAACTGTTGGGCGTTTTGGAGGTGGACTAAAATCTTCATCACTATCTGTTTCCTGTACATGTGTAACTGGTTGACGTGATCTATTTCTTTCTTTGTAGTAATACTGTTGTCTGCACCTGTTACACATAACATCATTACTATCTGTTGTTAGAAGAAACGATTTTTTTAAATAATTTGATAAGGACTTGTTGATGTTTCTGCGTTCATTAGGCTTTGTCCTCTTCTTACAGAGAATACATGGATAGTCTTTACTGCCACTTCCAGGCATCCTGTAATTATAATAACATTATTGCTTTAATTGCATTTTGATTAAAGAAGAAATTATAAATAGCAGCACCACCCCCACCAGATCTATGTACCAACAAGTATATCCCAAAAACGTTTTTTGCGAGGAGATAAAAGGAATGACCTCCTTTCTTACCAGGATATAAATGGCAGTATCTCTAATCTCTATCTTGCCCAGTACTTACTCATTACATGAATACACTGTGACCTAGATTTTGACCTTTAACTTAGACCTTCAATAGGATTCATTTCCTACCCATGGGGATTAAGAATACCTAGGTTGTCGAAGATCTGTTGTAAGGCAGAGCCTTCATCTTGCCCACTGCTTGATTTTTGCAGGAATAGAAGACTGGGACATTGAAATCAAACCTGTAAAGTGCACTTGTTTTGCCCATTGGTGATTCAAGTTGATTGTTGAAATTTGTATCATATTGTAAGAATATTAACTTGTATCTTTTTCATAATCAATTATATGTAAAAAGAAAGATAGATTTATTCCTTTATTGCTTTTTTATAAACATGTTATTTTGCATGCATATGTCCACATTTTTTACACCTTGATCACAGGGATTCGTTACAAATGTCTGAAATACACATATGCTATACTGATTTGGGTCACAGCACTCATAAACATACATGTGTATGTGTGCTATGACTCATCATTATAACATCACACTACCACAATTGGTACATGTTCAGATTCGTGTGTACCTGGGGTATTCCCGTTGGGGATTACCTTCCGGTATTATATTAAGACGTTTCCGATTGATTAATATTTTTGAGATATGTTATCTTACCTGTACAGCACTCCACGCTCAGGTATGGGTCAGTATCGAGTTCAATACCTTCATTGCACGTGTAATCGGCACATCAACTAGAAGAAATAAAAACATAATTCATAGCTTGTGATATAGTGTACCAATTTGGGTACTAATCATGGCCGAAACACTGACGAAATCTCACTGCGAGTTTAGCATTCTCTTTTCAAAAATAGATCACTTGGAATCAAAACTTTTTTTCTGAAAATGAACTACCATTGGTAGTCTTTGTCAAGAATCAAGAACATTCCAATTACAATATCTGAAATTTTAACTTTCACTGAAAATCTGTCAAAATTGTAGGCCTGCCTGTAACGTACCCCTCGCTTGATGTTGTCGTCTGCGGGGTGAAGTATTTACAAATAATACATTTAAACGAATAACAGTGAGAATAATAATACTCACCTTTACCCTAGTTGTTAACATTCTTGTCTTCTGATGGATCAGCCCATCTGGAATCTGTTTCAGTCCTTTACGTAGCGTAAATTAATATTTTTGACAGCAAACTTTATCGCGCAGAAGGTATTCCCCTGCAAAATCGGTGCGACTAATTACAGGATCGATCCTAATTACAGAGAATAGTGTGAGACTACTCTGTAATTTAAAACCTGAACTACTGCTTCGTTGAGATAAAAATATCACAACATGTGATTTTCATATCAAATTAATGGTATAATCGACCATAAATAGTCCGATCCTGCTCCGATCCTATAAATCGTCGGCCGATCCTGCCCGATCTTGTAAATCGTCGGACCCCTCAAAAAGGGGAAATAACTCGGTAAACGAAGTTTGAAACGTAAACACGTCGAAATTTTAAACCTATTTTTAAACAATTTAATGTGGCCGCAGCCTTTAACCAAATAAAATTGGGCATTAATTTTAAGATTTGCTTATTAATATTTTCTTTTGAAAATATGGTTTTGGTTAATAAATGCGGCCACTTTAAATTTCCGAGAAATGTGCAACAAAATCGCATTTTTTCTGATTTTTGTCAATATTTCGGCCTACTTACCGACGGATTTTCTAATTTTAAGTAAAAGCTTTCTGACAAAAAATTATTATATTGGGATTAAGGGATGATATTAGGGAATGAAAAACAATACTTTGTTCTGCGATATTTGATACTTTTTTTATAAGGAAAAATTAGGTTTACGTTGTCTACGTACTCATAAGGGTAAACCCCTTTCCTCAACAGCAGACGCGCATGCTCTACAGAAAATTCATTAGCTAAATGTTTAAACGACGCTAATCCCTCTTGAGCTAGATTGTTAACTAATGATTCCAAACTTTGAGACATGAATTGGAATGAATCAATGAAACGTAGATTTCCCAAACTGAAGGAAATATATTTTTCCATGTTATTGGGTATACACTTGATATCATGATCTTTAAATAAACCCATACTTTCACAGAGAATGTGCCCATCGAATCCTTTTAGATTGTGAAATACGATGGGGATGTGGGAGGGATATTGAAAATTGAGATTACAGTTCTGACAGCTTGCACCTCTAAATTTACCCGTCAAATGGCAATGATCTCTGACTTTGACGTCATTTTCTGTAAAATAGTGACTACATATGTGACATTTTGTGCTATTTTGAAACTCTCGCTCGTTGTCAGGGGACATGATCAAAGGTTCTACATGCTGTAAAATGTCTTTGATTTCTTTTTCTTCCTTTACTATATTTTCCAGAAAAGTTTTACTTACGTTTGGACCTCGATAAATAACTGGAGGTTTGGTATACTTTTTGTCTATGCTAACGACCTGATAACCAAACCCACAAGGTTCAAATTTTGTATTGCGAGTCGTACTCGATTGTTTTGGATCGGGTAGACATGTATCCATTCTCTGAGCGAAAGTTTCGAAATCTGCATAGATGACAAAAGGAACTTTTAACTGTTTTGCAAAATCGTTAAATTCTAGCATGTTTTCATCATCTTCTGGAAGTATCACATGTTGCAGATTATGTTTTGAACAGTATTGAATGTGATTTTCTAATAAGTCCTTTCTGGTAAACCCCTGAAGACAATAATGGCAAAAGTGAATCTTATGCTGTGTCTTTGTTGTTCTAGATAAAAACTTATCAAGGTTGCTAATGAGACAAAAATGACGTTTTTCACCCTTTTTTAAATATAATAAATTGACATGTTGACGTACTTGCCGTAATTTCGTAACATACATGGGAAAAATATCATTATCCTCATATCCAAACACATTCACAGAAATATCATTTTGTCTTTCAAACTTTTCCACTTGTGATAATGCCACAGGATACTGAATTCCAGACATGTCCAGCTCATGTTCATAGGGTATGTAGTTTGTTACTCTTTCCGGAACTTGATCAGGATGGAGGGATGCTAGGACAGACCACAGGAAACACTTTTCGTCCTTGTTGATGACGTTGATTATATCAGTCCTCGTGAAAGTAGTTGGTATTGATAGGTATGAAGAACCACTCAAAGGTGAGTAGTTTACAGTACTTATTTCCAATTTCACTATCTTTTTGAGTCTCCAATTGGATCCCTCTCTCAGATATTCTTGAAATGATACAAACATTTTCTGAAACGCCTCATTTAAATTGTGTAGAGAAAAAGTTTCATTTGGTAGAAATGTATAGTTTTTACTTCGAAAATGTGGATACGATTGTTGTTTGTTTCCTTCTTTGTCTTCCTTTTCCAGTTCTACCTGTACACAGATATACCACTTGATTCCATGTAAGGAATGGCATTGCTCCGTGACGTGATCCACTACTTCCTCTTTAGTATTACTGAAGAAAGTAAGTAAGTCAGCATCATTTTCTTCATTAGGGTAAATATATCTTACATTGGCGGATCCATTTAAGCTGCTATCGTCAGAAAACTGATGGATATTTACGGGTGGCGATGTGATAGGTTCGACTATGGGAGAATATATGTCAGGTATGGGAGACTGTACGTGAGAGGATCCTAATATGGAAGACGGTCGAGGCATGGGTACGTGAGAGGGTCCTGGTATGGGAGACTGTATGTGAGACGGTCTCGGCATGGGAGACTGTATGTGAGACGGTTCCGGCATGGGAGACTGTATGTGAGAGGGTTCTGGTATAGGAGAATGTTGTAGAGGTTGTTGTCCGTTCCCACCATGTTGGTGTTTCTTTAAAACGTATCTTTCCTGCTATACGAAACATGACATTGAGTACATGGAAATGGCTTTCGTGCCCTGCCAGATGTCTCCTAAAGTTGTCTAATCTTCTTATATGCTTGTTACAGACATGACATTGGTAACCACTATTGGCAAGTCTCAGTTGTTTAGAATGTGGTTGATTCTCTTTGTCTTCTCCGAGAGCTCTTTTAAGTTCTCGTAATTGTCCCGCCACAACATCATCGGGATAGTCACGCAGTAGCTGTTCTATCGAGGGTAGTTCGGCCATGGCTGTCGACTACACTATGAGCTTTTTTTCTGGCTACTGGTGTCTTTATGAACTTCGTGCTATTGAAAGTTATATATAGGGATGCCATCATGTTAAATAATGTCTAACGTTATAAGAAACATGACTGAACACAAATGGAGAGAAAATTTACACCTTAAACGATAACCATTTCCGCTTGACTGGTTTATGTAAATTATTCAAAAAACGTGGCGGTGTACCTTCTACTGCCAATTGTCCTCCTTTTTGTTTGTCTTTAGTCTCGTTAGGCTGGTTAACGTCATTTTGTTCTTGTTCAATAATTTCATTAGGTTTCTCAATTTCCTTTTTATCAGCTATGTGGTCTACTTTATTAGGTTTGTTTACGGCGTCTTTTACTTCCTCTCCGATTAATCTGTCATATTTAGTCTTCGTTATGAGGACGAGTTCTCTTGCCATTTCTGATAGTTCTGGATGAATATCGATAACACTTCAATTAAAGCTAAGAACCTCCTTCTCCTCTGTTTCGATGTTATATTTTAAGCTAACACCTTGCGAATGGCGAGTTTCTGTTTAGATACAATCTTTTTATCCTCAACTGACATAGGAACGTTATCCATGACCGTATTATATATAATTTCCGTCAATAATTTCAATTGCTCTCTGCTTTACGTGTTAATAATGACTGCTTGTTGATGACGTGGAGCAGAAAGCATGAAATCAAGAAAATAATTCATTTTTTCGGCTCGTAGATGATGGGATCCTGTCCTGGTAATATCCGAGTACGAAGTGGAGGAAGTTCTGTCGGACCATCGGTAACATTCAACTGTGGAGCATGTGGACTACCATCGACAAAAAGATATCCGTATCTTTTAGAAACGGCAGAAAGGTAACTCTGTCTAAAATATTCCAACCGTCTGGGGAACATCTGTCGACCTAATGTCTCGATTTGTGCCTGGTCTCTATAATTTCTAAACAGGGCCAAGTAATGAGTATTTAAACTTAAAGTACGCATGACTTTTCCCTTCTGAAATACGTTTTGTACTAAAACTATAACTGACACATTTCGATGATGTGACCATATGCAAAACATTTTCATGAGTTGTACAGAATTAGATCCCTCTATCAAACAGTCGTCTAACACTATTATCTTGTGTTTGTCTGTAATAGATGTCAACTCTTCAAACTGAGTTTCATCCAGTATTCCCTTAACAAAGGTGATTTCCTTGATATTACGTTTTAGTTCGTCGAACATGGGTTGCCAAGTATCTTAACAGATCATAATCTTGACTGTAGGCTGACTAAACAAATCGTCGGCATGTTCTAACATTTGTTTCATCAAAAAGGTCTTTCCCTTTCCAGAGCTGCCTGCCAACTGTATCGTGGCGGGACAGACGATGGGGATCAGACTTGTCTGTGACATGATTCAAAATGAAAACAAGTGAGTGATGTACATACATTTTATTGATATTCAGAACAGCATGATTGGAACCCATCACCAGTTTGAAAACAAAACGGGAAAGAATTATAAATGTAATCATATACAAATTCATCGTTATGCTTATAATCATTACAAAATACATTAACAATAGTGCTAAGCGGTACATTTCTACATCGATTGAGTAAATAAAACAAACAGTAACGTCCACACACGTTAGATCTGACACTCTGTAATCGTGTTACATTAAAAGATGTACAGTTTGGGAGTGAAAAGTATTGTGGTGGGTGACCATAACTGTCAAAAAATTCCTGTTTTGTTGGCGATTCCATAAAATAAGTTACCTAGTGTCGCCCGGGTTGGCGACTTTTATCGGTATTTACAATAAATCCAGTGGGGAATCGTTCTATATGTGTTGGTATACGATCACGCGCATATACATCTATGTTCAGTTCTCTCATAACGAGATCACAATCGATGACGCAGCGAAGTTGATTGGTATTCATTGTTTTAAAATGTCTCTTGCAGCGTTGATTTCAAAATAACCGGGATACTCGGCGTAGACGATGCAGCTAATGGCTTTGGACAGTGTACTTCCAAATGTGACTTCCAGTCTGACGTTTCCTTGTTTTGATAAGGTGAGATACTGATTCCCTTGAAAAATGGGTGCCAAATTAAATGTGTATAACGAATAACCATTTGAAATGGTTTGCCTGTCGATATCTAATCAAC